AACCCCAAACTAATCCTTACCCTAACTTTAATTAAAAACTAAAAACACGTGACTGGACACGGCTTTAGACGTTCCCCGCATATAGGGTTACATGGTACATTACATATTACATTTAATTTAAATTTTGTTACACTAATTAGTAAGTTTTAGAATGTTTATCAAAAATTGTAAATTACTAAATATTTTACTATGATAATCGAGTTAGATTATTAAGACAAAAATGTTCTTCTACCCAAAATAGGGGGTTAACTAATGCGCAGTAATATGTTTCTGTATTAGTTCTTGAGATATCAGCCTCTGAATATAGACGTTTTCTATACTCACTCTATAATTGCTATATAATAATAGTAAAATATAGACGAAAATATAATGATAACAATAGTAATAAATATAATACTATAATAATATGATAATAATAATATAATAAAACTATAATAAAATAAGAGAAAATAAGAAAAATAAAAAAAAATTAAAATTCAATGAAATTTTGTAGGGTTACATCACTCCCCTCTTTAGATTTGACCTCCTGGTCGAAGTCATCAAATTCATCAATATTTAAGAATTGTATCCATGTTTAGTCCTTTAATCGTTTGGCTTCAGGTATTAAAGTATCATAAAAGTCGGTATGATATATTTCATTTAAGATATAGGGGGTAATTTGCTGAACAGCATAAAGATATAATTGACCATGAGTATTGAAAAGTTGATAAGATCGTTGGGCTATTTTCTATACATTTCTGGCTTTTCTGGGTGAAAAATATGAATATAATTCTCGCCTAGCAGAGGGTTGCCAATTTTGAGTTTCTAAGAGCTGTCCAAGTTCGAAGAAAAGTTCAAGTATAGTTCCATTTGAGTGTGTTCGTTTTTGTATTTGAGTGATAGCACCACAGATATGAGCTAGTTTTTGTTTAAAGTCATTACCAGGGATATAAAGGTTTAGAGTAATATTTTTAGGTTCTTCTCTGTCAAGGTCTAATAAATAAATATATAGATTATTGTGAATTCGTTGTGCTTTATTTTCACTTTGATTTGGGTGTGAAAAATATTGAACCGAAGTAGAGGTTTGTATTGAATAGAACTAGAAGAAATAGTAATAGTTTCATCAGGTTGACAATATTGTAATAAAGATAAAATATAGGGTTTAAGATTATTAAATCGTTGGGTAAGGTCCATTTTAGTTGTTATTTGTTTTTGTTTTAAGAGAAAAGGTAAATAAAATATAATTTTAAAGGAAATTTAAGTAGAGACAACTCTACTTTTTAGAAAAGCAAAAAGCTATCCTTTTTATAATTTTTAGAACAATAATTGATTGGTTTGAGGCACCATGTGTTGTAGAATATTTTTAGACACTCCAAAACGTTTGGGAGGCCTTGGCAATATAGAAAATCCAAGTAGAATCACCAATAAACAATGCTGAGCCAATGCCGAGCCAAACCATGTTTATCAATACTTGGCGCTCTATTACTCAATAAATTACATATTAACTAAAAATAAAACACATATCATTGTGTAGCCCTCAGGTTGATCTACAAATCCTATTATAGTAGTTTGACGTTTAGAAGCCTTCTTAAACATGTTGTCATATAGCTAACTAAAAATAACTATAATGAAATATAAGAAAAGTATAAAAAAAAAATGTGCTAAAAATATAATATATGTTAAATAATACTAAGAAATAATAACTAACTATAATATATGAATAAAATATAATAATAATAATCAAGAAAAAAAAATTTCTAATACAAGAAAAATGTTAATAAAAATTTGTCTATATTATACTATATTATAAAAGAATTATTGTAGTACAGTGCTGTAATCATAATCCGTCGGCAGAGTTCATAGGCTGTCAGCAGATATTGAACCTACAGCTGCTGGCTGCAGTCGCAAATCATTACCACTCTTCTACAATCGATAAGTTATAAAAATTTTTGATTGTACTGTTTGTAAATATTCAAAGTACCAAATTTGGGCAAAAATTAAGGTTTGTATAATAAGAGGTAATATAAATAAAGACTTAAATAATATAATAATAATGTTCGTAAAAAAATTAACAAAGAAAAAATTAAACTAATATAAGGAGTAAAAAAAAAAAAAATATATGTATTATAATAATAATAACAATAAAACTAATAATTGTAAAATAATAGAATAATAAAAATAAATAAATCAAAATGCCTCGTCGATATAGCACTTTCCAGGCTCAACGCTGTAATGGCCAAAATGCCTTGTATAAAGCTTTGGATGTTGCTCGTCATGCGAATGAAAGGTAAAAATTTTTTTTTTTTAATTAATTTTTTTAATTTTTTATTTTTTATTTTTTTTATAATATTAATAATAATATTTATAATAATAAGGTTGGGTGGTGAAGTCGAAAGATTAAGAAGACGTATTAGAAGTTTAAAAAGAGAAATTGAGGAGTTGAAGGATATTATTGAGAAGAAGCAAAGTAAGATTGTGGAAAATGTAGCGAATAGTTGGCAGCTAGAGGAAGAACATAGACAGTTATTGGTTGAGAGGAATAGGTTGAGAGCATGGTTGGAGAATGCAGAGGAGGAGCTTTGTATTGAGAGAGCAAGGAGGATCAATTTGAAGCAAAGAAGGAGGGTTGAATTAGAGAGAGCAGCAGAAGAGATGTATGTAGATGCAGAGGAGGAGTCAGATAACACAATTGTATAAAAATTTTTCTTTTCTCTTTTTAATAAAATATTATTTCATATTTGAACTATTGAGTCCTATAATTGTTGTATATAATATTTCATTAAAGGATATGCATTAATTGGTATCTCTAATATTTGTTTCTCTTTAGTATGAAATTTGTGATTATTCACTAAATTTAGATAAGAATTAAAGTTTGTGAAATATAAGAGACCAGGATAAAACTTTAACGAAAAAAAAAATAAAAATAAAAATAAAAATTTAATAAAGAAAATTTTAAAGAATAAAGGTAAGATAAAAAAAAATAATAAATAAATAAATAAAATGATAATATAATAATAATAATAATTGTAAATAAGAAAAATGCCTCGCAATTATCGAACAACTTGTTCTCAAAGAAGAAATGGTCAAAGTGCTTTATACGAAACAATTGATATGCTTCAGAATAAAAATCGAAGGTAATAATAATATAATAATAAAATAATAAGAATAAAAATTAATAATAACAGTAATAATAATAATTTAGATTGAGACAAGAAGTAAGAAGATTAAAAGCACAAGTAGTAGTGTTAGAAGGAGAAGTGGATTGTTTAGAAGATAGAGTGGAGAATTTAGAAGAAGCAGTAGGGGATAGAGAGATGTATATTAGAGAGATTGAACGATGAAATTGGCAGAGAAATAGCCAATATGCAAGTTTGGTAGCTGAGCGAAGTGCATTGAGGTCTGAGGTGAAGAACTTGAGAGATTTAATTGAAAACATTCCAGTCCCAAATTAATTTTTAATATAAATAAAATTTAATTGTTTAACTTCTTAAGAAGTTTTTGTGTTTTTCTAATTTGGCAATTCTTGGTATAACTTTAATAAATTAAAAGAAAATTTTAAACCTAATAAACTAAAAATAAAACTTAAAATAAAACAGTATAGAAAAACTAACAAACACAAATTAATGTGAATTATAGCTAGATTCTAATAAATTTTTCACAGCAAACACAAATTAATGTGAATTATAGCTGGTTTAAAGATAGATTTCAACAGTATACACAAATTAATGTGATTTATAACTGGTTTTAAAGATTTTAACAGCATACACAAATTAATGTGGTTTTATAGCTATATTCAAATTATAAAATGAAAATAATCAAAAGTCTATTAAATCTAATGCCAGTTATCCAAAAAGAAATGTCCAAAACTATTATTGTCAGAAGAATTTTAAAAGTATTCACAATTATTGTATAGTTATAGCTCCATTAAGTTGTAATTGTTTACATGATTCCATGTATGTAGCTAATTTCTTTTCTAATCTTTGAGACAATTTTCTTTTAAGAAGAGAGTTGTATACTTGAATCAAGGTGGAATAAAGTTTTTGTAAACAAGTTGGAATAATAAAACCAAGAGAAAAAATAAGTTCAGCAGATTTAATCATCTGTTTTACTCTAGATAAATTAATTCCTCTTTTAAAAAGTTTAAAAATTCTTTTAGATTCTTCTAAATAAAAATAAAATTGTTGAACGGATATAGTTGTAGAAGTAGTCTGTTTTTGTTTCTTCTTTGTTTTCTTCTTTTTAATTTCTTGTTTAGGTATAATCTCTATAAAGAAATTATTGTTTATAATTGAAAGTTGTTGTTTATTTTCTTGTTTTTCTAAAGAAGGTTGCAAGAAGCAAGGAAAAGGCTCAAGAGAATGATTTAGAAAAGTATTATTCTCACAGTTATCTATCCATGGATTAAAGTTCAATTCATTATATTTTTCTTGAGAAATAAAAGGATTTTTATCTTCTTTAGTTGTGTCTTCTTTACTTTCTTTTAAAGTTTCTTGAGTACTAATTATTAGTTTTGATATCTCTTTTCTTTCTTTTATTGTAGAGGGTTTTGAAAGTATCCAAAAGAAAATAATATTAAAAGTAGTTTGTATAAATAATAGATAATATAAAACTTCCATATTTTTTATGAATATATAATACAGTAGAGGTAAAGCATTGAGTAATGAGTGTTTAGAAAAGAGAATAAAATAAGATATGTTTATAGATAAAAATATAAGAATAAATAAGAAAGATGACAAGAAATAAATATAAACAATAGATAATAGAATGAGAAAAGATAAGATAATAGAAATAAAAGAAATAGCAACTAAAAAGAAAGAATTTTAAAAGAGAAACTAAAAAAAAACAATTTAAAATATCTTTTACAAATATTGTTTTTCCTTTTAAATATTGTTTCCGCCAGGAGGCACCAAATGTTATTACTCTATTTTTGTATAACTAGGCTCAAGTTGGAGACCAGCAGAAGGGAGCAATAACTAGCAGTTCGATTTAAAGAACT